TTCATTTTTTCTGCTTTTATTTGTATTTAAAATTTATTGTATTGTATTTCAACAATTAAGAAATTCTACATGCTTTATAGCGATATATGTTTTTTCTTACAGTTCTCTAAAAGGTCAAAGATTTACTTAAAAGATTACTTTAGGAAAAATTATGTTTGGGCTCTTATTTTGGTATTTCATATTAAAATTATAATCTGATTTGTTGGCAAAAATTCAATCACATCACCTATTTTTCATACTTGCTGGGTTTTTCTGGCTAAAATTTTCCCAGCACGAAGTTGCAACTTTCTCTCCAAACCAAACGTCAAAATTGCTCTCTCTCGCAACTAATTTTACTGAGTTTTTTGCTCAACGAAAACGATTCAGTAAAATTCAGGAAAAATTATTACTGCCCATTTAATCGCCGAACGGAATGTTATAATGTTACAGCGATAGTTAAGGAATTTTAAAACGTGTTGTCAAGATATTGTCAGAAACTTTGCAAATGGATTTGAATCCAGCGTGTGTTCTGAGTTTTCATAAATGGTAATAAATAAATATATTAAATTTTAATTGAATAAGCGTTTGTATATTTCACCATATTAAACCATTAGGCTTAGTCTCTATGTGGTTTCAACTGTGTTGGTCCTGTTTTTATTTCGGCAAACGTCTTCTTAAAGAACTGAAAATCGACTTTACATTACTTACATATATGTACAATACATTTGCTACTAAATTACTATATATTAGTATTAGTAATTTTTATACAAAATTTTCAATGCGAAAAACCAAAATTTACGTATTTTCAGCTGCTCCACATAGTACATGTGTATATAATTTTAATCTATTACGGTATCATTTTTTAGACCACGGGCTCTTAAAAGATAAATTTTTGACTAAATTGAGAAACAAAAGGGTAAATTAACACTAGCAGCCAGTTTAAGCCATCTTTAAGACATATGCATGCATATGGCTTGGCTTTTGAAGAGTAGTTGTGCACTCATATAGAAGGTTGGACGTCTAATCAGTTCTGCAGTTCGTATAATTTTCTCCAGAATCAACTTGTCTGAAACATTGTTTAGTATCGAACGCCTCGGAGAGATTCACTCCGATTATAACGGAGTTTTGACGTTGCTCACAGCCGTATAAGTTTTGTGTGCATAGCATTGAGACAGCACTTTTCATGCTGTCGAAGCCTACTTTGAAATCGACGAGTATCTGGTCCATGGTTGACTTACCAGGTCTAAAGCCACACTTATAAGATCCAGTGAATTTGTTGACGATGGGCTTTCGCACAAAACGCTGGGTTAGACCTTATAGGCGATATTAAGGAGACTTATCTCACGGTAATTGTCGCAAAATGTGAAGTTCTAATCGACGCGCATGTTTCATCCTACCATATTCAGCCAAGAAGCTGATACATGCACCTTGTTAATTCACCGTCATGCCATGCTTGGATTGATCGGCTGGCAAACCATCGGCTCCCGACGGTCTGTGGTTTTCCAAGTGGGTAAATGCTATTCCAACGTCATCGAAAACCAACAATGAAAAGATCAAAATTGTCTATTTGACCATGATTTTAAATAGTACACCTTAAATCATGCGAAGATAACTTAGATGGATTCACTTAACGCTGGCTCTACTTAAATTTTTAGGGGGACCAGCAAATTCTCTTTTGAATGCGCTTGAAAAGTTTGAACGTTAATCAGAAATACTTGTCATGTGTTTTTACTTGCCTTTAAATTCATTTATGATCGCCATAGCTTAAACTGTTTTCTTCTATAGACTTCCCTTCATGAATATTGTCCATCGCTACATATTGCACGCTACCCACGTAAAACCCACCCACAATAAGCTATGCTTGTCGTCAAGACATGATAAAGCGGGGACAACTAGCACAAGGTCTGTTTCTCTCGGTGAGCATGACTCATCGTCGAAAATTTATGAAGTAGTAGACTTTGTCACAAAAGTCTGTAACGCCGCTTTTTAGGTCTCATGTCCGCTTTCTATTCCATCAGGAAATAAAAGGCCCAAATAGTGTAATACCGAAATCTCTGAGTTAAGGGGAAAAAAGCAGAACACTCCTAAATGAAATCTTTTGAAACCTAACGAAGGCAAAACTAGAATCTTGGCAGGCCTTCGCAGTAACATTGACGAAAATGTGTAAAACAGACTCAGCAAAGGGCTCTCCAAGAGCTCCGCAATCCAAAATTACAACTAGAAACCAAATGGTGATGAAATGCTGGATATCCTCATGAGCATCCATTCTCCGGGCCACAATCACCATTCGCGAAGAGCAAGTGAACGCATATTTGTTATATTCAGCACTGTTTGTTGCGCAAGGATGGAATGGGCGATTAAGCCTTTCTAACCCTTCAAATCTCCAGGACTAGATGGTATCATTTACGCTGTATGGTGCTTTGCAGAGAGGAGCAGCGCTAGTGTTTTCAGACACACAGCAAGAGGCATCCCTTAAGGAGGAGTTTTATCGTCACTGGTGTGGTGTCTAACAGCGAACACGCTGATTAGAAAACTGTACAACACAGGCTGGGGTGTGGTGACATACGCTGACGACTTTGCCCTGACAGCGACTGGCAAACCCCAACAAGCATTAAGCAGACTACTCCAAAATGCTCTATTTATAGTTGAGAGAGGGTGCAACGATAGCGGGCTGGATGTAAACTCCAAAAAAACTGAAATGATTATATTCACCAGGAGGTACGCACGCAAGCTTTCAAACCACCTGAAATAAAGGGCGTGGTGATACTCGTCTCTACCGAAGTCATATATCTCGGGATAATCTTATATAGCTAATGCAACTGGAGCTGGGACACGGCAGAAAGATCAGGGAAATCCATAACTACACGTCGTAAAGATGAGGTCTAAGACCGAATATCGTGTGCTGGATCTATACATCGGTAGTTAGATCAATCATCTTCTACGGCATCACCGTTTGATGGCCGGTACTATCGAGACCAAGTTAGAGAGATTTCCAGGATCGGCTGATATGCTGATAACGGGAGCACTGCCATCAACTCCCTTAAAACTTCTTTCTTCTGGACCTTTACGGGAAACAACAAGCAGGCGTGTAATGGGGGTGTAAATGGGGTGTAGTCAAGATTCTGGGTTTGCTGTTACAGTTGCGAGGCTATACTCAATGCCTACTCTTGCGTTCAAGAGTAACTGTAGCGTCTGTTCACCTGAGGTGCGGCTGCGAGTAGGCGTCGATCTTGAAGCAAGCAGCTCGCTTTATAAATGTGTAAAGAAAACTTTAAACTTACTCGCCTGGTGAGGTTGTGCGCTGGGTTTGCGACCACCCACGTAGGAACCAGCTCCAATGAAAAATGCAACAACCCCCTTTCTGTTGACGACACCCGTAAACGAATTAAGAATCACGATTGGAGGGCATGCTCCTGCAATGTCTGGTCTCTTGGTGTTGGATTTGCGGTGGGAGAGGGACTCCGTCGTCGAGTACTGGCATTCACCCCGGTGGATGAGCGTCTCGCCACATATCGCTGATATGCGCCCACGCCCCGACGGAAGAGAAGGACCATTTAGCCAACGATGCCTTTTATGAGCACCTAGAACATACTAACGAGCGCTGCCTCTGACACGACGTGAAAATTGTGATTGGCATTTTTAATGCCAGGGTGGGCAAAGAAGGTATTTTTGGGACAACTATTGGAAAATTCAGCCTTCACAACGAAATCTCCACTAACGGGTTGAGGCTGATCGACTTTACCGGGGCCCGAAATATGGCTGTCTGTAGTACTAGATTCCAGCACAAAAAATACATCGGGCTACTTGGCTGTCCCTTGACCGAAAAACACAAAACCAGATCGATCATGTTGTGATAGACGGAAGACATGTCTCCAGTGTTCTTGACGCGCGTACACTTCGAGGACCCAACATCGATTCGGACCATTATTTTGTTGCAGCGAAGATACGCATGCACAGAGATCGAAGAACGCCCGTCAACAAACACAAGGAAAGTACGACTTTGAAAAGCTGCAATCACAACAGACTGCGGAACGATTTTCTACTCGACTTGCTTTCCTGTTTTCTGAGAGCATTCATCAACAACTCGGTATACGGGACTTGTGTCCGGCATCGCAAACCCCCTTCGTACAGATGCAAATGATTTTTTTGTTATTCCTTAAAGGTCGCAAAAACAGCTGGTACGATGAGGACTGCAGTGTCGCAGTGGAGAGAAAAGAGACTGCCTACCTCCTAACCTTGCGATCGACCACAACACGTCTGAGATGGGATAGATACCGTGAGATGAAGAGGGTAGCAAGACGCATCTGCAGACAAAAAAAGAAAGAGGCCGAAATGCGTGAGTCTGAAGAGCTTGAGAAGCTGGCCGACAAGAATAATGCTTGAAATTTCTACAGAAGGTTTCAAGACCGGAGTAGACTCTTGTAGGACACAAAGGTGTGATCTAGCCACTGATGCCCAGAGCATATTGAATTTATGGAGGGAATACTTCTCCAACCTGCTAAATAGTAGGGAAAATGGAGAATCCGGAGATGGTTTACAAGGTTCTGTCGAGCGTATTGTGTGAAAGACTGAAGCCCACCGTCAACAAACTGATTGGACCTTACCAGTGGCTTCAGACCTAGTAATTCAACCATTGACCAGATATTCACCATGCACCAAATCTTGAGAAAGACCCGTGAAAAGAGGATCGACACACACCACCTCCTCGTCGATTTTAACGCGCCGTTAATTCTGAGCTCTACGGCGAATACCGCAGACGATGGAACGATGAGCTGTACAAGTTATACGGCTTATTGATATAGTTCCACGAGTAAAGAAGCAGCGACTATGCTTACTAGGTCATGTGATCCGTATGGACGCGAATAGGAAGACCTCCACTGCGTTGGAAAGACCAAGTAGAGAAGGATCTGGCTGTGCTTGGTATTTCCAATTGCGCCAAACAGCAGAAAGAAGAAACGAATGTCGATGGAAAAGTTGGTTGCGGAATTTATTCTCCCATGCTCTTTTAACATGAGCATGAGACTACCAAACTACTGAAGCGTTTTCAGGGCAGATCTCCTTGCAATCATAGAAGCTGACGAATGGTTGCTCAAATCTACGGCAGAAGGACGATCGGTTACAAATATACTTCGACAGTCAAGCTGACCTGATTTGCAATGTAATGGAACCACGTCGAAAATGGCCATAAAATGTAATGGTATGGGTACCTGGACACAGTGACATTCCAGGCAATCGCATGGCAGACGAATTAGCGAGGGAAGGATCCCTTCTACACACAATAAAACATGCACACGATTCTGACACACTTAGACCGATTAGCCATTAACGTAACAACAGGCATATCAACGGACCATTGTTTAATGGGCCTTCACGGGAAAATATTGGCTTATCCGTATAATGATTTTTGCCGGGACGAAGAAGAGGAGCACAATCTGCTGCACTGCCCAGCCCTCACATCTACGAGACACAATTTACTCAGAAACTGCCTCACTGAGTTAGCCCCTCCGGAAATTGATAACCTGGCTGCCTTCATAAGGCACACGAAATGGTACGATCATTTACACCTTTGGCTTGACAATAATAAGCAACAAGTAACCCGCGGTCGGTCTGCGTAAACCCACAAATGCCAGCGAAACGTTTGATCCCTCCTGAGTCTCTAGCAGTCACATGCGACAGCCTGAACTTCTTCACTCAGCATATGACTGCAATAACCACAAAACTCCAGAGCCGCAACAAAATCCTCAAAGCGTTAGCCGGCAGCATTTGGGAAAAGATAAATATTCTGTACCGATCTGGGCGCCAGGGACTAGCGAGACGCAATTGAAGAAACTACAATCCTGCCAAACCCTGCACTAAGAACAGTGACACAAAACCTTCTGATGGTGCCAGAGAAAAAAGGAACATCATACCAACAAGCTTCAAACACCATTCACCGAGAATCAGAATCGGTGCTCTCGGAATTCAGCTACGCCTATTGCAGACGAAGAGCTCGAGCTGACTCGAGAGACCCGAGCAATATTTATTATTTTTGTTCGGCATTTATCCCAAACTTACGGTATGTGACGGAAGTGACTTGTGAGTAATGTCCTCGTTGTTTATTGGAATGGAATATTGAATCTGATAAGCATAAATTAAATTATGTTCATCCGACTATTTGGCTACGGCGAACTAAACATTATTCCGAAACCCAAAGAAATACATTTTGTAACGAGCTCGAAAGAAAAAGACTACGGAAATAGATGGTTCTCGGTTAAAACAATGGAATTTGGATGCTGATGATTTTAACGTCTTCGCGAAAACGTTCCAGCGCACGTTATAATAAATTGAAAATGTAAGAAAAACAAATTAAACTCACTTATGGACCTAATGAAAATAATTTAGCATCTAGTATCCGAACTATGCAGTTTTTTCTTCAATTTATTAGGGAAACAGTTTTTACACATTCAGCGCTATTCTAAATGAAAATTCTCCGGGAGATTTCTCACTTTTCATTATTTTCCTATTATAAATAAAAAAATTTCCAAATCCAGATTTTTCTCTTTTCTCTTTCCTCGAATTCTACGTATTCCAATTCGAAAATGGAGAAAAATTCCCAATGTCATAGTTTTTTCACATACAAGTTCTGTTTTTATAAAAAAGATTAGTATTTCCTTTCACAAATAATCATATTAAAGACTTTTTAAGTCAAAAACAGCGAGTAAAGTGCAGTTGCAGTTGATGGCAACTCAACCGGCTATAGCCCGAGGATTTTTTAGGGGTAGTAAGGAGTATTTCAATTTTGGGAGAAGGTGAATAACGAACTAAATACCGCGGAATTGCCTATAAAAAATAGTGGAATGGAATATAATAATAAATCCTTTTTCAGTAAAAGATGATTTTTAAGTACTCATTTTACGTGCGGCTCAACTTTTACATTTGGTGATACAAAATTTGTTTATATGTAGATTCATAGACCAATAAAGTTTTAACAAAGAAGATTTTGTAGAAGTGCTAGATGACATTGAAGACTAGTTAGGTAGACTGTCTATCCCACATGTGCTCCAACTAGCAGCCAAAGAGGGCTCCTATTAACGGTCTGTGGAACTCAAAGACTTTTGAACGTTTGAATTGCCCACGCTGGATAATTTTAGGAATGAACGAGAATGGAAAACGGAGAGCTCGTGATCATTTTTACATCAAGTACTGCAAAAGAAATTTGCACACAATGCTGTTCATAACTTACATTTTTATTAGTTTTCCTCTTGCAAAGAAATTCGCATACAATTCTGTCAACGAATAACTGATTGGTTTAATTCTGACATTTAATCCGATAAATCGGTTTCTGTAACACCTAACATCAACACAAATTCTGCAAACCAATAATCCGAACGTGTAATCCCTTTAACAGAATTTTGACGGTTTCAATTCTTCATTCATTAAAAATATATGTACATTATAATATTAAACTTTTTCGTAGATATCTAAATAAGTACAATAGCTTTTAGCTTGTTCTCAAACACGTATTTAACAAAAGCTCTTATTTAAAATGGTGGGACATTTTTTACTTTTCCACAGTTATTTCAACAGTAAAGGATGATTATAAAAATATATGTAGCTCCCCTTTACTCCAAGAATTAGCACCGATATTCTTATAGAACTTATTAAGAACTTAAAATCAAGTTATAAATATTATGAATTTGTGGTTTATAACTTCTCCTGCTCAGCAATACACAGAAGTGCAAGTTTTATATCAGATCGCTTTTTAACACTTTCTTCCCGCAACACATTGCTTTCTTTCGTAAGAATTTTTACTTTAAAGTCCAAAAATTTTAACGCCTCCTCCAAAGTGAATTGAAGAAAATAACCTTTTCCCACGTCAATGAGTATCGAATCCGATGGATTATCCACTTTAGCTTCCATGAAGACATTACCTCCAATATCTACAAAATAGCTCCGCTTTTAAAGAAATAAACATTCATTCAAATGTTTACTACTTACTCATTTGCGTCTTAAAGGAATCATCCGAATTCTCGCTTAGCGCCTGTAAAGTATTTTTAAGTTGCACATACTCCATAATTTCTCCATTATAAGCATTTATGTAGTGATCTAATTGTTTCAAATCTTCTTTAAGAAAATCATTGACAAATTTTTCCAAATTCTTTGTAGTTAGCAGGGACATTTTAATTTCATGCCGGATATATAAACAAATGAATATGACGATGGAACATTCAACAAGCAACGATAACAACATTTCACAGTGCTGCCAGAAATTATTCTGTGTAGTAGCACGGCGACAGCAGTTAGTCTGAGTTTACACGAGGATACTTTATGCCGAAGAAACACACTTTGTGCTCGTTTGAAACGTTTTTTGTTTCTATTCGTCTCTATAGATTTTGACATACACTTTTGTTTCGTTTCCCACTTTGAACTAATTGTAGCTGTCTTCAATTTCTAATTTTGGTTAATGCTACAATATTTACATATATGTATATGCATGAGAACATAAATGGCTACACGTGTATGTACTTAATTATTATTAAATATTTAAGATAATGGAGTTTGTAGATAAAGTTGGATTAATGCAAGTAATATTAGAGTGTATTGAAAAAGGCGCTGAGATTAACTCTGGTGATAGTAAAGAGAATGAGATTTGTATTAGGCTGCGTGATAATCGGGTGAAAATCTTAAATTTTGACAGCCAACATGGAAATTCTGACAATTTGCAAACTCAAACTTATGCAGCTACTTCAAGGCGCTTGTATTCAAGCCTAAAACTCGGAATTAACAACAATTAAATTTTAAATCAATTAATGTTGCGGCGGAAATACCAAATAAGAATGGCAGATAAAAAGGAGATGCCGATAACTAAATCACATTCGTCTGAGATTACAAGAGGATACTTATGTCTCTTATTATCGTAATTTTTTCATAGTGTTGCCTTTAACGTTGACACAGAGACACTTTTTTCAAACACTTTTTTGAAATTTGTTCCTTTTTCATTCTTTCTGCCTCAATTCCTCTTTATTTTAAATTCGAAATTTTTCGTTCGTTAATTGGCGCTTGGTAACCTCTGAAGCGATTTTCAGCTCAGCTCCTCCTCCAATTTGTGATTTTACGTCTTGATGTTTTTCCAACAAATTGATGGACCTTCAGTTTATACTAAGCCGCCTCCGATCGGCTGACACCAGGACTTGAACCCCAGCCTTCCGAATGGCAGTACGAAATGCTAACCACTCGGCTACCGCGGCCGTCTGCGTAAAGGAAAACACAGTTTTTTTTTATCTATTTCTTATATATATTTTTACATCCGATTAAAGTTCAACTCTATCCTTTCGAAAGTGTAATCTTATCACAAATCTTTACATATCTCTCAGTATCATCAGAACCCATCCATACGGATTCTTTAATACATTCTAATATTTCTTGCATTAAATCAACTTTATCTGCAAAATGCATATCTAAATATATGCTTGAATGCATATATGCACATATTTCCAAACTTACGGCATTTATTCGTTTGAAATTGAATACAGCTACGATTAGTTCAAAGTGAGTAGCAGAATAAAGGGAATGTCAAAATCTACAAAGAGGAAAAGAAACACAAAACGTGTCGAACGAGCACAGCGACACGGTGCGCCCCCTTCCCTACAAACAAGTGTTTCGTCGGCAGAAACTATCTCCCTGTAAGCTCAGACTTCGCGAGCGGGAAAAACGAATTTTCCATCTGGCACGTTTGCCTTAAGCTCGCAACCATAGGATCTTTCAATGGCTCGAATTAATGCGTCATAATAATCCATTTTATAATTTGCGTTTGAAGAAATTCAAAAACAAAAAATTGCTCGTTGCCACCATAAATGTTCGCACTTCAGATTTGCGTGTTGTGTTCCTATTTATCTATAACTAAAGTTTAGAGTGAACTGAAATCAATGCTATGATATGGCCCTATGGTTTGTTTTAATTAGGATTGTGTATAGAAAACTGACTTTTAGATAGCCAAATATGAAATTTCCAAAAAGAAACAAAATATATGTATAGTAATATTCGGTGAGCTGATGGATTAACCAATTTGTACTGAACCGCGTTAGGTGAGATAGGTTAGGTTAGGTTAAGCTAGCTGAGCTAGTGGGTTTCACAAAAACGAAATACAACCATACACCACATGCGACTAAGCTGTGCTGTGTTCATAACTGCTTAAGTACTCGCTCTAGACCCGTTGCTGACTGATGATCGTGTAGGCTTTCTGTGTCAAATATGCATAGCCTTTGTCTTCCGAAAGCCGGACGTTCAAAGATTACGTGCTCCACTGTCTCTACGCATTCCTTGCATTTCCTACACATATTATCCGCAGTCAGACCCATCTTAAACGCATGAGACGCCAGAAGGTAATGCCCGATGAATTGATCCATCAGCAGGCTGGTCTCTTAGGTGCGATACGAAGCTGGTAAAATTTGCACCGATACATTTCTCACCGAACATAGGCTAAAGAAATTAGTTCAGTATGTCTTCTCTATGTATATACTCGTATGTATGCATGTATCTACGTAAATCATTTCCGCTTTTAGAATATTATGCATTTACGGGACTATTTTGAAGCAATCATTTAAATTGGCAAATTATCGTCATGAATTGGATGAAAGTGTTGACGTCGGATCGCACGCAAATGAAAATGCTTCGCAACTTCATTGATGAGCAGCGCCAAGCTTTATCTGCATATAAAATCACAAGCAAACTTTGAGAATTTTCAGTTATAGTCAATATTACGATTAAAACTCTTTCGCGAAAGCCAAAATTCAATAAATTTTCATGTAATACATGTGTGTATATACATAAACTTACTTTGATATGCTGTCCTTGCGGCCAACGATTCTGCTGTTCACTTTGATTTTGCTTGTTGAAGTCGTATTTGTCGCAGCTGATGTAAGAGATTTAATTTAACCGATATATATATATATACATATATATTCATCGATAAAGGATATTAATACAACACCTCCATCTGAGGAAGATGACAACTCGTCTTCGGAAGAAACTGTGGAAGATTCAAACGAATCCCGCCGGAAGCGATCTTTAGAAACAAGCCTTGAGACAAATAACAAAGGAGAGGAGGGAAAGATGACGGGAAGAGCGGGTATACCAGGCTTACCTGATCCAGCAACAATTCTAAAAATCGCACAAATTTTGCAAGCCTTGGGTGAGAAAATTGTACCAATTCTTGTTGAAGGTAATTCCGCAGCAAGTTTAGTAGCAGAAAAAGTGGGCAAAGATTATAAATTTGTTAAGAATTTTAAAAAAGAATTGGACTCATTGACTGACGAACTAAAGCCAAAATGATTTTCACAACAACTAATTCTGCAAAAATAAAAATTATGAAATATAACAATAAAATTTAAATATTGAAATAGTAAACGTTATAGATACGTTTTTATCTACCTTTTTTATTTATTTTCAGCAGTTGGATTTGGATAATGGCTTTTAAAGCCGTTCCCTGTGAATTTGTAAATGGATAAATTGATAATTAAATTAAATTACTTTTAAAGTGCTTCAAAATATGTTTAATTTTTCATATTTTCATATCATTTCACGTACGAATGTGAAATAAAGTTAAGATTTCGTCTTTAAATGAGAAAATCATTTTTAACGGATATTTTCTGTTTGAACTATGAAAAACTTCTTAATGCATACTAAATATGTTTACTATGCACATACATTGCAAAAAAAATCTTCATTAATATGCAAAAGCTTAGTTGTTGAGGATGCTTTTTCATCGAATACACCTCAAAGTTGGTCATATTCCATTCATCGAGTATGCCAGATTTCAGTGCTGTTCGAATCGATGGGATAAAGGTCAAGGAAAGAAGCCTAATTGCAATGCATTGACTTTAAATTTATATCCATCACTTGGAGATATTACGCTGAATTCAGATACCAGATTTTCCACTCCTATGCTGCTTTCAGTACAGAAAGTTTTCCAAATTGTATTCTTGGAAAGGTGTTTAGTTTCCACGCGCCTTGCGCATAATGAATTCGATGGGCTTTTCTGGAGTCTATAGAAAGCAAGGGTTTTTGCCGAGCAATATTCGGATTGTATTTATGTTGCAGAATGGCTTGACGTACATTAGTAATTCATTAGCGTTTATATTCGAACATACATATACATAATGAAATTTGTTTAAAAATATGCCAGCAAGCTGCAAGCATACAATCTTTTGCAAGTAACGTCGATAACTTGTGTGAGCATATCCCTTTTTTAGTCTGTCTGGTATGTTAAATGGCTAGTTGAGTTTTTACGGAAAAAACTAAGGCTGCAACTACCCATTTTACTTACCATCCGTCCATACGGGCGACGTCAAGGCGAGATACAAGTTAACGAATTCTGTATTCGTATTAAATAAAAAAAATATTTTTTATTTCTGGTCTTACGACCTTTTATTAACGAAGTCAAAACAAGAATTACTTAAACAATCTAAAATTTGCTAATTTATAACTTATGGCTCTGCTCTGGTTTAGAAGATTCCAGGAATTCAGCCCGCTTGCAATACACGTGGCGGAAATGCTGAGCATTGTAAAATAATCGTCGTGGTGTTGTTGTTGTGAAATGATGGTTTGAGCGGAAATCAGGTAGACCTGGCGTTAGCATTTATTATGGTGTGAAATCATAAGTTCATTTAATTTGTCAATTTGTTACAACGTAACTTACATATACGAGTTATCGACGCTGCTGAGAGTGGCGAAATGTTGCCAGCTGCCAGTGTGTTTGCACAGTGTGTTTGCACACTTTTGAACAAATTCATAATATTCGTCAACGAATTTCATAATTTATATGCTTGAATATAAACGCAAGCCAAATATACATGATCTATACGGTAACAAATAAATATTTACGCATTTAGTTTTAATTCTTTTTGATAAAAAAAACTACGTATTATCTTCGATTATTTAATATAACTTTAAGAAAGGCTATAACGGCAACCTTGTATAGCAACGAGAAATGAACCAAGCCGGTTTTACGGAAAAAATCAAATCCCCGTTGGTTTCTGCGGGACAACCGTCCCTAACGGCATGGGCAACCGGTGACAACTTTGTGTTTACATTGCACTCTCTTAAGATAGGTTACAACGGACGGCTGGTACGCGCGTTGGGTAGTTGCAGCATAGGTTTTCGCATCTTTGAGTGAATAGCAAATACACTTTTACCACTTTTTAACTTATACAACGCTTATAGTGAAATGGAACAAAATGAAGTTTTCAAAAATTGTATATATTTACTTATTGTAAGCAAAATAAAGTGTAGAGATGAATTAAAAAAAGGTATTCGCATAAAATTAATCGTTAATTAAAGAAATGAGTACCGAAAAAGGTGTTATAAAATGTTTTATTTTTCCAAAACAATTATCCATCAACTGTCAAATTGCCATAAGAGACGAAAAGATATGAGATCTAAAGATCTTTACAATCCGCACCATCGCAATTATTCACATTTTCTGTTCCAAACGCTGCAAGCCTTTCCAAGTGGACCACTTTCATTTATTTTCTTGGTCTCCCAACGTTTTGTATCTAAGACACTCCGTCTTTTAGCCGTTTGATTATCTTATATTGGATCTTCCCAGTACCATTGAAGTTTCGAGGGTAAAACGTTTTTTTTTTATATGCACTAAATGTCCTTCTCGTGACTCTTCGGAATTCATCGCCTTATCATACCGGGCTTGAATCTTGTCACTCATAATTAGAGTTCGCCGCCTTAAAAGAGCATGTATTTCCCTCAGCTCCTCCTCTGAGACTTAGGTCTAATTGAGATTGTCGCCGTTACACGTGTCTGAGCATTGCGTTAGTTTCCGAAAATGTTGGCTTTGGATACGCTTATGACTCCCATTTGATGTGTATATCATTCAATCTTCTCAAGGATTTCAGGATTTTTATCCTTTCGAGGAACTCATCAGATAAGTCCCCAATAGCCAAATGAGTCAATCTCTTAATTTTGGAAGTAAATTCTTGCAAAGATTCATTGGGTGTTTTATTCCAATTTTCCAGCCCCTCTTGTACTCACTACCATAGTTTATCTTCTCTCAATCGGGAATTTTTACTACAGGCTCCTGCTAGGAATAAAGCAGCGGATTTTTTCTCAATTCTCCAGTTATTTGCTGTCCAATTTTTGGCTCCAATTGTAACGATTCGCCTCGATGAAGTCCTAAATCTTTTGAGTTCGATCCCTGGATTGTTAAATAAAATTCACCAATTTTGTTGAACAATTTCTTAATTGCAAGGAATGGAATTGGACCGTTGTTGTTACCAATGAGTTCACTTTGTAACTGCCTCCCCACTGTGTCAGCCGCTCTTTAATAATCCTTATCAATTGCGCGTACTTAGTTCTAGATCTTTCTGGAATGCTTTTACGAAACATAGAATATACGATTCTCGCGATGTGGATTGCACTTTAGATACGAGCATCTCCCAGAGAACTTATAATAAGTTCTCTTCATCTCCTTTTCATCTGTCATTCGTTTTTCGCGTTTTCGCCGCAGTAGTTTTACCTATTCACTTAAGGTTTTTAAACTGTTTCTTGCTATTTGGCAATCATGTGATAAATTCATCACAAAAGCAGCAAAGTTCGCACACTGATTAACATATGTTTATTTGAATCTTTGCTTGTTCAAAGCAAAGTTCTGTAAAATGCATATGAAAAGAAGTTTGAAGTTAATAATTATTGTTGTCAAACAAAAAAAAGTTAGTTATTTGTATCAAAAGCCGCCTTCGTTCTTTGCATAATTGACAAATTATAACTGGAAGAATGGCATCAAGGAAAGGAAGGAGAACAATGTTAAAAGTGGCTAACCCGCGTTTGATGAGAATTTCTAAAAGTTGTAAACAATGATCCAGAAGAGCTTAAAACTTGTATAAGCATGACTTTAGAAGTCTTTAATTTGCTTTTTAAAGTGGAACATGATCTTACATAGTTCTCAAATAGCCTAGCGCTTGCACTAAAAGGTATATTACTAATAACTGTTGTAAGTACATTCATATTAATAATGTGCAATAACTGTGAGAATTAACATTTACTTCATTAACATTTGTAGGTACTTGGCAAATGTAGACTGCGTGGCCATTTTAGATGCGAAATCAAATAAACGGCAAAGTTCTGGCAAAGACGCTCCAATTACCAGAAGATAAAGAGTCGCGGAAGTGTTATTAAATCTCCATACTATTTTCTCGGACCCTCGCTTTGCCCACTGAAGCCTGCTTTTATGAAACTTTATCATGGTAATATCATTTGCTTTAAAAGGCATTAAATGAAACTAATCATGCATCAATTACAGGTACCTTAATTTAATATAATAATATTGTCAATGTTGTTGATTACATGGACTTTTTTTTTGACGGACTTTTTTATTACTGGACTGATAAAACATCGAGTAAGCGAATACCCATTGAACAGTCATTTTTATTAAAATTTTAAAGAATTTCTTAAAACTCAATAAATATATTTATTGTATTATAGTTAATTTATGATAAGTTTCGGGTTATCAGCGAGATTCCCTCGCCGGTGTGCTTTTTCATTATTCCATTATCCGGACAGTTACTTTTACTGTGAAATTGGTATTTGTTTAATTTAGAAGGACATGTACGAGTATGTTTTTAGTAATGTCATCAATGATAATGGTCAACAACGAATTACAAAATTTGCAGAGAGATACTACACAGTTTGTAGTTCATTATATAGCAACCAAATGCAAGGCTTTCCAAAATTTGTTGAAAGCCAATTTGGTAATCGGATATTTCGAAATCACGGCTCAACTGTGAATTGAACTTCTAAATTAAAAGATATGCGATTTATGGCAAATCAGAAATATAAGCAATATAGTACTAAAGAATACGCTATAAAAGTTTGTTAAAAATGTACCTACATATTTATGTGTATATTATATCGGCGCAGTGATGGTGCAAAAGTGGTCTGTTAATTTACTAAGTACTGAATGTTTGTCTTGCTTAAGATTATGTTAAGTCTTCATACAAAGACCATGAAGATTTTTCGCTTTTATGTCTTCAGTTGTTATGCTTTTTACTTACATATGATAGATAAAATATAGTATATTTTTTCTTTTCTTCTTTTTAGGCTCTCCCCTCTCAGAAAGTCTTGTTCATTTCAATTGATAGATAATACTTTTGGCGTTTTAAATTGCACGTTGGAGAATTTTACCAAAACCATTGATTTAATCCGCACGGAGTATGGAAAACGTTTGCAAAACTACGGCATATAACTTTTCTCGAATGCATGATATCTCTTATTGGCCACGTAGATATATGACGGCACTGAGCTTATTCCAACAATACTACACAGAATGCGTTTGAGGTCCGTGATAAATTATGCAGTTATTTCGAAAACAATCCAATTTCCTAGTATTACTTTTGAATATTTATAGCAGAATTTATTATTTTAATGTAACTAAGTATTTTTGTATATAAATATGGTGCAAAAGACTTGCTATCTTTTTCTTCTTAATTTTATTAAAGATTTCAAATGTAACGGTTGTTCTGCGCCT